CAGCCTGGGCAACATAGCAAGACCTTGTCTCAAAAAAAAAACAAAAAGATGAAATGTAAAGTGTTTATTAAAAATGATCAAACTTACTAAGAAATGAGATTAAAATAATGAGGTCTTTTTTGCTTAGATTGTAGAGAGGTAAAGAATAATACCCTATGTTGGTGAGGGTGTGGACCATTTACACTGCTATAGGGGCAAGAGCAAGAAGACTCACTCTTGGCATGAGAATAAATTGGTAAAACCTTTCTGGCAGGCAATCTGGAGTTTGTTTCCAAAGTTTAAATGTGGTTAATTAAAAATAATTTTAACCAACATTCTAGGAATTTTCTCTATGAAAATAATCTGAAAGTGTGCGGGCTTGTGTACAAGGTGGTGAGTTGCAATATCTAGGACCTTAATTTTTGTATGTTGGTGGGGAAACTTGATCACCAGTTCCTGCTCTCCTCCCTCCCCAATCCCAGTCCATCTACTGACTACCTTTCCTGAGTAGAGCATGAGTAGGGCCATTGGCAACTGGGATACTAAGCAGAGTGAGTGGGAATTTGGGGTTACTCAGGGTTAGAATAACAGAGCAGTACTGGACTTGGCTTCTCTGTGGGCCAGATAAGAATCTGAGACAATGGTAAAGAGGCCTGGGGTGAAAATTAAAATGCCTTAATTTTTGGAGTAATCTTGGCCTTGGAGATTCATGGGACTTCAGAAAGGAAGGGCAGGGTGCTCAGGTAGATGGTAGCTTGCTGCCCTCCCTGGGCCAGAGAAGTCTGATTGTCTTCCCATATCCCAGAATGGGAGAGGGCTATGCAGCTCAGGAGATGGGAATTGAGGAATTCCCTTCAAGTACCTCCAAGCAGGTACCACTGCCTGACAGCTTGATATATGACTAGACTACAGGAGACTGCTGGCTCTCCACCTTTGGTAGTGCTTTCAGGTATTGGGGGGCCATGAGTAGTCAAGAGGAAAAAAACAGTAACATGCCCAAAGAGACCCTGGAGCCAGAGGTAGAAGGAACAGGCAGAACTCAGAATAGGGGATGCCTGGGGAAACAATTTCTGGAGGAGAGAGAGGACAGTTTTACCCAAATTCCACAACTGGAGGGGAATTATAGCAAAACTTTCTAGAACTGAAAAGCTTTTCATAAAAATTTTTATTATTATTTAGTCAAAGTCTCATTCTGTCGCCAGACTATAATGCAGTGGCACTATCACAGCTCACCATAGCCTCAACCTCCCAGACTACGGTGATCCTTCCATCTCAGACTTCCAAGTATCTGAGACTACAGGCATGCACTGCCATGGCCTGCTAATTTTTTTTATTTTTATTTTTTGTGGAGACAAGGTCTTGCTGTGTTGCCCAGGCTGGTCTCACACTCCTGGGCTTTTGGCCTCCCATGATGCTGGAATTACAGGCATGAGCCACTGTACCCGATCCTTTTTTTTTTTTTTAAATTTAGGAGTTTAGTGGATACATTGAAGGAGAGGATGATCGTTATAAACCTAATAGCCTGTTAACGCAAACGGAAGAAATACCTCCAAACATGGCAAAGAGACAGGAGAGAGAAAAACGAGGAAGGCAAAGACTTGGAGGACCGATAAGTATTGAAGTCAATGATGATTAGCACATTCCTGAACCAATCCCTGCGGCCAACAGATGCCCCTCCCTTTGACTTGCTTAGGCTGGGATCATCTGCACTGAGCGAAGGGAGAATGAGATGCCCCTAATTAGACCAATTAGGGAACACTTTGGAACAAGGGATAGAGTCAGTGCCACCCACACAGCAAGAAAGGGTGGAGTTTTTTCTGGGGGACAAATAACCTTGACCATCCCTCGTAGTAATACGTGGTACCTAGCTGAAAAAATTGTCATGAGGATAGATGAGATCCTGTGTTAAATGCTTAACACAACACTTGGCACATAGCCCTGGTGAAACAGTTCTCATTTGTGCTTAAAAGGGGTGTTTTTAAAGTTTAAATGGATACATATGCCCCCAGTTATGCCAGTTCATCTTATAGTGCTGTATATAGAACCCTGGAAACAATAGAATGTTGTTACTCAGCCATCACTTAGGGAGTGTTTTTTGAATACTAATGTTCACTCTAGATTCACGTGGGAATCCTGTTGAATGAAGATTCTGAGTTAAATGCAAATTCTAATTTAATCCCGGTGGGGCCTGAAGTTCTGCATTTTTAGCAAGCTACCAGTTGATGCAGATGCTGCTGGACCACAGACCACACACTGAGTATCAAGCACCTCATATATCTTATGTGATTGAAGGGGCTCACCACTGTATCCATGTTCTAGCCATTAGGAAAGGAGAGAGAGAGAGGAAGCAGAGAGGGAACAATTTCCTCTTTTCTTACCCCATCTTTTTTATTTGGAAATTTTCAAACCTGAATATTTGAAAGAATAATGCAGTGGACACCAATGCACCTTTCAACTAGCTTCACCAATTGTTACCATTTTAGCAGTTTTCTTTTAAGCATGTGACACAAAAGTTGCCTGCTTTCACGCTTATCCACTGTTAAAAACTGTGGCAGGCCGGGCGGTGGCTCACGCCTATAATCTGAGCACTTTGGGAGGCTGAGGTGAGAGGATTCCCTGAGCCCACGGGTTTGAGATCAACCTGGGCAACTTGGCAAGACCTCTTCTCTACAATCAAAATTAGCTGGGCATGGTAGCGCATGCCTGTGGTTCCAGCTACTTGGAAGGGTGAGGCGGAGGATCACCTGAGTCCAGCAGGTCGAGGCTGCGATAGCCATGAGCATGCCACTGCACTCCTGCCTGGGTGACAAAGTGAGACTCCAACTCAAAAAAAAACATAAAACTTTAGCAAATAGCCTGATCCTGCTGTAAGAGAGGCCAAAGAATATAATTCAAACTTGATAGTGATTTGCCCTTTTGCAGGGGTGAAGTTCTATTACTCTATGATAAAATAATTTTTTTTTAAAAAAAGGAGGAGGAGAAGCAATGGGACAATGAACACTAGGGGACAATTATTGTCTGATACACTGACTCATTAAATTTTATAACCAGTTCTTTTCAAATTGGATTCTGAAAGACTTGGCCTAAATTTATAGTCCATTTCTAGAAAGTATGTAGGACTTCACAGTATGAATTTTACACACCCACCACATGCTTTAGTTTTCTACCCTCATTTTCTCTTTGCTTCATTTATCTTGCTATGTTGTGCAGATCTTTCTACTCAATCTTAAATCTTTTTTTGAAACAAGTTTAATTATAGACTTTTTTTAAAGTAAGGGTCTCACTCTGTCACCTGAGCTGGTGTGCCGTGGCACAATCACTACTCACCACAGCTTCAACCTCCTGGGCTCAGGTGATCCTCCCACCTTGGCATTCCAAAGTGCTGGGATTACAGGCGTGACCCACCATGACTGGCCTACCTGATTATAAACAATTTTAATAACACATTAAATATAATGAGAGGTCAAAATGTTCTGCATGGATCCAAGCTGTTCACCACAGCTGTTTTGCTTTTTTTTTTTTTGAGTTGGAGTCTCACTCTGTCACCCAGACTGGAGTGCAGTGGCCACTCCCGGCCACCGCAGCCTCGATCTGCTGGGCTCCAGGGATCCTTCCACCTCAGCCTTCCAAGTAGCCAGAATTACAGGCATGCGCTACCACGCCCGGCTGATTTTTTGATTTATTGTAGAGATGAGGTCTCGCTGCCCAGGCGGGTCTTGAACCCGTGGGCTCAGGCAATCCACTCACCTCAACCTCCCAAAGGCGCAGGATTACAGGCTGAGCCACCGAGCCCGGCTGTTTTGCTTATAATAGCATGTCTGTAACACTTAAACCTGTAATTGCATAGTTGTAAATGCTATTATATTGATCTTCATTTTGTCCAAGTGATTTTCCAGCCTTTTGTTTAAAAAAAAACTTACAGAAACTGTTACTAAAAGAAATAACAAATGTAGATTGCTTTACATAAATCAAGATTTCACCAGCCATCCGTTAAACATATTATGTAGACAGCAATAGACTATTCCTTGTTACTTTATATCACCTTGTTACACTACTATTGGTCTATACTAATTACCTTTTAAACGTCTCAAATCTTTATCATTTGTTGTCAAAATTTTAAAAGAATATACTTTCAACATTTTAAAATAGTGCCATTTTATTTGGGATATAAAAATGTTTTCATATGTGATAAAGTTTATCTTGGATATGAATTAAATCATTTTTAGAGTTAATCATTATAGCATTTGGCTGTACTCAAGTTCTTATTCCATCCTTTCGTTATGTGAACCACTGTGGTTACTTGAAAATAGAGAATAAATTGCTCAACACGGGCTCCCTAGTAAAATTTTAGTTAGATCTTGCGCCATAGAGCCCCCTGCAACTTGAGGACAGCCGATACTTGCCTATTTTACACAGTGACAACCCTAAACTGCCTTTTTGCCGAAATCGGACTTTGGCTGTCAGCTGATGTCTGGCGCCGTCTCAGGGTGTTGGTGCTGCCTGCCAGCCTGGGATGGTTGGGCCGGGAGCCAACCTCGTAGTTTCATTCAATCGTTTGCCAAGTGCGGATGCCAGGCCAGGCGCAGGGGATGTAAACATCCAAGCCCAAAATGTAAGCTAAGGAAGTGTGAGCCCAAAACTGGAGGGCTGGAGAGAGCCTCGTGTTTTCGAGCCTCCCCGTGTCTGCGCGTGAGATGTTCGGGAAAACCCAAGGAACCCCGACACGGGTGCCGCGCCACCAGCGTCCTCGCACGCCAGGCCCCGGGGACGCGCACGGGTCTGGCGGGTCACATCTCGTCGCCTCCCCCGAGAGCGCGGGCAGGGAACGAGCTCAGCCCCTTCCGCCGAGCCTCACGGTTCACCCGCAAACGCGACCCCACGCCCGGGCCGGCTTCGCGCGAGGCCTGCCCGCTCCCAAGATGGCGGCAGCGGCATCAGGAAGGGCGGTGCCACGTGGGGGCGGTGGCCAATGGTCTTCCGGGCTGTGCTGCCGGCCGGGCGCGGGAGGCGGAAGTGCCGCGGGCCGCCGCCTCCGTCCCGGTTGCGGCCCCTGCTGGTTACAT